AAAGGGTTTTTCACCAAGCCACTTTGCACAGATTTTCCTTAATCTTTGTAGTGGCAACTTCTTAAATTTTTCCTCTCCCCCCTGTGAACCATTTCCTCAGTCGGGCCTCTTGCTGTTGAAGTTGATCTATCAGCTCATCTGGTTATTCTTCATTGTCCTCCTCTCCCAAACCTTTCCACATCCCCCCACTAACCCCCAAACCCCAAAGGATTTTCCCCATGCAACAAGGTTTTCCTCAACGGGCTAACCTCTCGGGTTAGCCTAAAACCCTAAAAATCCCTTTTGTCTACACATTCTGGCCACAGTTTTTTTTCCCAAAGCAATTTCAAGGTTTTCTTAGTCCTCCCCCAACCCTTACCTATAAGGTTTACACAATTAAAGGAATTAAAGTACCCCCAAAAGCCCCCTTTAAGTCTTTTGATTTTTCTGAGGCACAAAAAGCCCCTTCAAACAGAGCTTTGTGTACATTTTTTTTGAAGTTGCAATAACCTCGGCCCATGGGCTGCGGGAGAGGAATGGTATTAGGGCAAAAACTTCACCTAATAAATTTCAGTCCCCATAAAGTCGCCTGCCACTCTGAGGTCCCAGGGGCATGTCTAACCCCAGGAGGCACTTAAGTTCTAATTTCTTTTCTTTTAGGAATTTTTTACATTGGGGGAAAATGCAGGGTTAACCTCAAGAAAAAGTCCTAGTGACCCACCTTCTTTTTTGCCCTCCACACACACAAAAATTTCCCTTTTTAGGAATTTCTTTGCCTGAACTCGGGGAGTTTCAGAGTGAACACAAAAAAGGTTTAAAACTGTAATACCATACATTGGAACACACAACAAAGTAAGCCTGCTTTATAGGGTTTTGCCTGGGGGTGCCTTTTCCTCCCGAGTAAAGTAGGTCCTGCTTTCATTTTCTTTCCAAAACGGCCTTTTTTCATCAAATTAAACACTTTTTTAAGGGTTTTAGTCCTTCACCTCTATGTACTTTTTGAATTCATGCACATATTTTTCAGCCGCTTTGTGGGCCGAACGGGAGCCTCACCATGCCTTTTCACACTAATTTTGCCACACGCTTCTTAAAACTCCAAAAAAACCTTTGCTGGCCTTAAATTCACTCACATCCCACTAGTTGCAGCATTTTTTTAATTAAATCCTCATGCAACTTCCCCCCAGCCTTTTCGTTTATATCGCTTGAGAGACGCTACTCCTGCAGCTGTTTTTCTTTTACCCCCACCAAAAAGATCCTCAACATCTTGCATCCTTCGATCTCTTTTCAAAACACATTTAAAACCTTTTGGGCAAGAATAGTTTTCCTTGATTGCCTTTGGTGCCCACAATAGAAAACGATCGTTGATTGGGTTTTTTGTACAACCGGGCCCAGGTTGGCGATACGCACTCCACTTTCATACTTATCAATGACTCTTTTCTCTCTATAGTAATTCTCCCCCTTATTGCTGTAGGTTTTGGCACTAGAACTTTTTGGGCCCAGGGTCTCTTATTTTCCAGAGAAAATCCCCCAAAAACAATGTAAAAACGAAAGCCCCGATTTATGCTTGGTTTTTACCCGGAGGCGGCGGGTAAAAAAGGGCACGGGGGGCACATGTGAGGCGGCTGAGGGCGCACATTGACCCTCGGACGAACAGAGGTGAGCGGGTTTTTTGAGCGGAAATGCAGGAAAAATTTTTTTCGATTAAAGGGGCGTATGCGATTAAACTTTATGTGATGCCAAGGGATGGGGGGGTCCACTTATTTCTTAGGGGGAAAAATTTAAATTCGCCTAATAAAATTTTCCAAAAATTAGCTTGGAACAGTTTAATAGCGTTATGCAAGGGCCACTTATTTCATGGGGAAAATTTTTTTTTTTTTCATACTTTTGGGGTCTGCAGGATTAATTTGATTCCTTATTTCTCAGGGGAAAATTGATTGCTTTGCGATAGTTTTGCTTTACGATAGCTCTCAGGAACAGTTTAAATAACTTTAAACCGGGGTACACTGTAAAAAATAATTTTAAAACACTTGAAAAATTTTGGAAAGTTCCAACTAATAGAGACACGTGGCTCATGGAAAGTAAACAAACTGGGGGGGGCGTGTGACCAATTAGAAATGTCATAGTGTGTCCTGATTACTTGTATTACTTTTTGTAGGTATGTAGTAAACCAAGCTATTTATAGATAGGCTCGATGGGTAGCTGTGATGTCAACAAGTCCTCACTAGCCATAGCTAAAGGCATCCTCCAATTTCCCCTAGGCAAAAACTGGGCAAGGGAAGGCTTCTGGGCTTTTCCTCCTTATGACTTTTAAATTTCAACCCAAACCATCCAACGAGGTATTCCAAATTTCCAAAACTCCCTTTTGTATTCACCCAACAAATGGTGGCAGTGGTGGGATTGCGTAATTTTGACAATTACGAAGATCTACGGAGATAATTCCTACCAAGCCGACTGACATTTTGTGTGTGACTGTGCATGGAGGCCTAAAGATGCCAGCTACCATCCACATGCTACACCAAGCCAGTGTATCTCCAACCTGTCTACACAGCTTTTGGTTAGTTCCTACCTGTGCATTTGCTATTTTGCCAACTTCAAGGAGTAGGTCTGGGTTTTTACAAAATTAGCCGAAAAGTTACGCCAGCCTGAGGGGGAGAGCCCTTAGCCACCCAGCCTGCCTAAGTCCTAAGCCACTCAGCCTGTCAAGCCAATCTCCTAGCCTGTTCTTGCTGCCATGTGTATGGTTACAAGCCTCAAGCCATCTTAGCTTAAGCCAGCAAGCCAACCCAGTTGAGTGTGGGAAGTAGGCCAGTGAACTTTGCTCTGCAAATTGTCTCCAGTATCGCTTTGTCCTACCAGTTCAACTCTGATCAGAGTGATAATCACCATCCCTGTGGTATATTGTTGCTTACTAAGCCATCCGGCTTAAATCACATGACTTTGTACTGAGAAATGCCTCTAGCTAGCAGCTTGCATGTGAGGGGGCTCGTAACATCACAGGTAGCCAGGGAGCCTGTCTATAACATAACTGGGATTATCTACTTATACTACACAAGTATCATCAGCTGATGATACTGTGCTTATGGGAGATTCTAAAGAAAAATTGCAAAGGTTAGTGGACGAGTTTGGGAGTGTGTGTAAAGGCAGAAAGTTGAAAGTGAACATAGAAAAGAGTAAGGTGATGAGGGTGTCAAATGATTTAGATAAAGAAAAATTGGATATCAAGTTGGGGAGGAGGAGTATGGAAGAAGTGAATGTTTTCAAATACTTGGGAGTTGACGTGTTGGCGGATGGATTTATGAAGGATGAGGTACTCATAGAATTGATGAGGGAAAAAAAGGTGAGTGGGCATTGAGGTATATGTGGAGACAAAAAAACGTTATCTATGGAGGCAAAGAAGGGAATGTATGAAAGTATAGTAGTACCAACACTTCTATATGGGTGTGAAGCTTGGGTTGTGAATGCAGCAACAAGGAGGTGGTTGGAGGCAGTGGAGATGTACTGCCCTAAGGCAATGTGGGGTATAAATATTATGCAGAAAATTCGGAGTGTGGAAATTAGAGAAGGTGTGGAGTTAATAAAAGTTTTAGTCAGAGGCTGAAGTGGGGTTGTTGGGGTGTTTGGTCATTTAGAGAGAATGGATCAAAGTAGAATGACATGGAGAGCATTTAAACCTGTAGGGAAGGAAGGGGGGGTGGGGGTCGTCCTCGAAAAGGTTTGGGAAGGAAGGGGTAAGGGAGGTTTTGTGGGTGAGGGGCTTGGACTTCCAGCAGGCGTGCGTGAGTGTGTCCAATAGGAGTGAATGGAGATGAATGGTATTTGGGACCTGACGATCTGTTGGAGTGTGAGCAGGGTAATATTTAGTGAAGGGATTCAGGGAAACCGGTTATTTTTATATAGCCGGACTTGAATCCTGGAAGTGGGAAGTACAATGCCTGCACTCTAAAGGAGGGGTTCGGGATATTGGCAGTTGGTGGGATATGTTGTGTATCTTTATACGTATATGCTTCTAAGCTGTTGTGTTCTGAGCACCTCTGCAAAAATAGTGATTATGTGTGATTGAGGTGAATGTTGAATGATGATAAAAGTATTTTCTTTTTGGGTATTTCCTTTCTTTTTGCATCACCCTGCCTTGGTGGGAGACGGCCGACTTGTTAAAAAAAAAAAAAATAGCTACACAAGTAATACAAGTAGTCAGTGACACACTGATGACAAAGTCAGGGGAGGGGGGGAGCAGTATAACGAGCTTTGCTCATAATTTGAAATGTCCGTATTAGTGGAACAGCATAAGGTGAAATGCCACAAAGCAGGGCCTTACTGTACAGGCTTCCGTTTTACACTCGCGTGACAGGACGGTAGTACCTCCCTGTGCGGTTGCTGTCTACCAGCCTACTACCAAACAAAATACAGAAATTATATAAGCCTTACGAAACTGAGAAAAAGAAGAACTAGACTCATTTTCAGACTTGTAAAAATCCAGGTATGCAAGAGTGCTTGACTCAGGTGCCAGAAAAATAAACTGAAGTTGCACATAACACATTTGTCATTAAAGGATTATTATAAATGACTAATTTACAGTACAGTGCTGTACTATACAGTGTCTCATAAATAATGGAAATATAAACACATATGCAGTATAATTGATCCTTTATTGACTACATTTCGCCCACACAGTGGGTTTTTTCAAGTCACAAACAGAACTACCTGGGGTGGAAGGAACGCGAGTATTTATAGTCAATAAAGGATCACATTATACTGTATATGTGTTTATATTTCCATTGTGTCGGTATTTTATACATTTATTTCCGTCTCATAAATAATATTTTGCCTAACCTTAGCATAACCACAGGTAAGAATGATGATGGATAGCAGTGGGTATCAACGTTCTGCTAAATGTTGCCAGAACAGGTTCCAGAAGTTATACAAAAGTTATCAGGTCGCTTCAGAACACAACAAGAAATGTGCCATAAGAACTCGAAGACGTCCTCCATTTTATTTCAAGTTAAACACACTCTTTGACTGTAGTGAGATAAACGAAGCAGTTGTAACTGGTAAGTGGTAAACTTGCGTCATTTATAGAGTAAATAAAGGTACTTCTGGAAGAACTGTATATTGTGTTGTAATTTCTTCTGGTAATTGTAGTGAATATTTTCTTAAGCTATTTTTCACTTGTAGTTAATGGTTTTCTTTCTTCCTAATATACCTTTTGCTTTTATATTGAAAAAAAGTTTTATTTTTACTTTTTCCACGAAATTTTCCCTTTTTAAAAATTAAATTTTGGGGTAATAAACCGATTTTTTTACGACCTCGCTGCCACACTCCCAAGAAGGGTACCCAGAAAAAAAACATACAAGGACCCCCCCTGATTGACTTTTTTTTTCGGCCCCCGGGTTATTGCTGAAAATTTTGGGTGATTGGCTGTTTGGGATGTTTCTGTTCACCGGGCCCCACTCCTTGCAGTCAGTTGGCTGGTCTCTGGCGGTGAAGAAGCTCTCTCATTCACCAAACTTTTTTGCTATAACTTTTTTTATTGTAGTTACTGATTGAGTGAAACTGCGAAATAAGCATTCATTGGGCCCCAAAGAAACACGTTGCATAGTATTAAAAACATGCAATGTTTATATGCATACATATTTAATAATAACACTGGTACATTAACCCTTTGACGTTTCGGCCCCTTTCGAAACTGTCATTCTATGCGCCAAATTTTAAAAAAAAAAATATTTTTTTTTATGAAAATGTTGGGAAAAATTTTTTACAGTGTTTTAAGCCTAAAAAAAATTTTTTTCCCAAACAGTATTTCCCGGAATATAGACCCAAAGTTTGCAAAATTGACGTGCGAAGGCAAAGCGGCGACTGCCGCCCACCCAGTATTCTTTTTTTTACTCTAATTAAAAGGGTTTTTCTTGCATTTTCAATATTTTTTTTTTTTCCAAATTATGGGGGCCTGTGAGCCAAATGAAAGGGGTCATTTTCAAAATCCCTCATTATTTACAACACAATAACAAACAAATTTTATCACTATTAGTTTGTGTATACACTTTGTTTACACAAACAAACAATAAAAAACAATGTTTATTACATTGTTCCATAAAAATAATACATATGTAAGTCCAAAACACATTCCTGAACGCGCAGTTTTGGGAACTCTTTGAAACAGGGGTATATGCAGGGGGGCACTTCACATCCCACACATAAAACGATGTCTCTGCATGTTTTGGGGGTTTTTTGGGGTACTACATACATAACACCTCTTCTGACTTTTTTCGGGGCAATTAGGAGGCATTTTGTAGGGGAGTGATCACCAGGCCTCATACGAGATGACTCTTTGGGCGCTGTCTATTGCAGGATTTTGCTTTTTTGGTACTTTTGGGCAATTTTGTTTTGTTACTGAAGGAAAACCCAAAGGTGTTTTTTGTTGGTTTAATTGTTATGTTTATGCTTTAGTGGTAACAAGATGGAAAAAAAGTTTGATTCCACTTATAACTCTTGACCATCTCAAACCCATCTGCATGTCACATTTTCCACTAAGCGCATTTTGGGGGTTGTAGCCCCATGACAGCTGCGGGCTTTAGAATGGTTCATTGGTCTCTCTTTGTCCCTGCCACGGGTACCATTTCGTTTCTGTGACTGATGTCAACAATGTGACTTCACGTTTCTCAGCCACCGAAAGCCATGATGTCATTGGCAGAAAAGGGCTTGCACCTCACCTCTGCGATGCCAGCGCGAACCTTGGCATATGTTGCGATTACCACGCACGGGTGCCACACCTTTGTCAAGTTCATCCAAGAAATCACTGAGAAAGGGGGGCTTTGGTACCATTACAAAAATAACATATGCCCCTTCCCAAAATAGGGGTTCCATCATTGTTCGAACCACATCACCAGAGATACCCAATAATTTCGGGGTATCCTAAAAGTTTACGCCAGTGTAACAATAAATCAAAACAAGACCACTTCTGCAACACACAACAAATAGCTTTACCAAACTTTCCCCTTGTTTGGGTATAATTGCTTGAATGAGAGTCTTCCTTTGAATAAAATAAAGGACTATAAATAACAAGCTTCCGAAGGGATAAAAAACTGCAGCACTTTTGTTTCAGGTACAAACAATTTTTTATCTAATAACCTGCGCTCGCAGGCCTGTTTTGTCTGAAAAGTGTAACATACATAACATATCAAAAACGTTGACACCATAATTCACAAAAACCCGGGAGTTGAAATCGGGGCGACTTTGCCATATTGTGACAGTGTGCTTATACACAGGGCTAAGCTTTTTTTTTGGGAAAAAAACAGTACATTCTCCCACGTTGCCCCTTTCCACTTGTGTACCGTATTTTGGTGAGAAATTGTTTTTCCATGGTAATCCAGTAGGGTTTTGTTTCCCTGACAATGATGTCCATCAGGGGTTTATCGAAAATAACTCAAAACAGTCCATTTTACTGGCATTTTTCCCAAATGGGCAAATGGCTTTATTCCACTTGTGTTTTATCAAAGTCATGGGGACGGGAACAAACTCGTCACTGCCTGCCAACCCCGATGCGGTCTGCTGGGGGGGGCTGGATTTGTACCCTGGTTTGTGGTTGTGCAGGGTTTTGGGGGGTGCAGGTTGTGGTGGTGCAGGGTTGTGGGAGTGTGGGGGTAGGGTGAGGGGTGGTTGTTCTGCTGAGTCAGCCGCGTGGGTATTTGCTGGCCCGGGGATGGTGCCACAGGCCCCCCACCCTCACATCACCACCACTGCCCCCTCCCTCACTGTCCCCCATTTTACCCCCGTTACAATATCGCATCTTCACTATCGGGATGGGGTAGGGCCCCGGGTGTGCCCCCAAATTTCTCCTTCCCCCTTTGGAACAACATATGAAACACACCAACCCCATCTACGTCCGTACTACTGGCGCTTCACTGGGAAAAATTCACTCTCACTGTCCAAAACCTTTAAAAAGTTTGGAAAAACCCCAAAAAAAAAATGGGGGGGAAAAAAAAAAAAAAAAAATTTTTTTTTTAAAAAAAAGTAAAAGGGAAGAAATTTAATTGTTATTTTTTTATATTTAGTTATTGGATTTTTTGGGAAAATATTAAAAAAAATGGAATTATGGTTTGAGAAATTTTCATCGTTTAATTATTAAAAAAAAAATAATCCCCCAGGAGTAGGAATTTTAACCGGGGGATGGTAAAATGGATGCAACATGGTTCCCCAATGCACCCCTGGGGCCCCGTTTTTTTCACAGGTGCACCCGACCCTGAGACCCATTCTCCCCGTTAGGGCCCACCAGGGCCTTTGGACTTTATTTGAAGCCGCAAAATTTGTGGTATAAATACGTCAAAAAATTGGCTCTAAAAGTATTTAACATCGGAAAAAATCCAAAGGTTTTAAAAGTCTTTTTTACGTTAATAAAACATTTTCATTAAACCATCTATAATACTTCTTTAAAATTTTGTAAGAAACACTTTTCATAGGGGGTAAACAGCAATGTTTTTACAACCACCACCGACTTACACCTCACCAAATACAACCATCGACTTACGATGTTTTTTGTATGCCAAATTTCTGGGGAAAAAAAAAACTGTTTTTTTTGGGGTATACAGTTTTACCTAAACCTTACAGCATAAATCATACAAGAACAAAAGGAAAAATAAAAAAAAGAATACCAAAAAAAAAAAAAAAATAATTTTTTTTATTTTTTATTAACACTGCCGATTCCCCCCAAGGGAGGGGCCCAAAAAAGAATACTTTCACCTCATTCACCCATCACGCTTGCCAGGGGTGCTTTACACTACGTTTTTTAAAAGCAACATTAACACCCCTCCTTCAAAATGCAGGCACTGTACTTTTCCCTCTCCAGGACTCAAATCCACTGCCTGTTTTCCTGAATCCCTTCAAAAATGTTACTTTTCCACACTCCCAGCCGTCGAGTATTAAAAACCTTTGTTCCATTCACCCATCAAACAGCTCAGCATGCCTGCTGGAAGTCCAACCCCCCCCCCCAAAAAAACCTCCTTTTTCCCCCCTCCAACCTTTCCAGGCCCACCCTTCCCCGACTTCCTTCCACACAGACGATACACTCTTGAAATCATTCTGTTTTCTCCATTTTCCCTACATGTCCGAACCACCTCAAAAACCCCTTTCCTCAGCCCTCTGGACAACAGTTTTGGCAATCCCGAACCTCCTCCTAACTTCCAAACTATGAATTCTCTGCATTATATTCACACCACACATTGCCCTCAGACATGACATCTCCACTGCCTCCAGCCTTCTCCTGCTCCCAACATTAAACACCCATGTTTCAACCCTATAGAGCCGATGGAAACTATACTCTCATACTTTCCCCTCTTTGGGCCCTAAGGACAAAGTTCTTTGCCCACACAGAATCTAAGTGCACCACTAAACCCTTTTCCCCTCATAAATTTCTATGATTCACCTCATCTTTCATAGACCCATCCGCTGACACGTCCACTCCCAAATATCTGAATAAATTCACCTCCTCCATACTCTCTCCCTCCAATCCGATATCCAATCTTTCATCACCTCATATTTTTTGTATCCTCAAAACCCTTACTCTTTCCTGTATTCACTTTAATTTTCTTCTTTTACATACCCTACAAATTCATCCACCAACCTCTGCAACTTCTCTTCAAAAATCTCCCAAGAGCACAGTGTTATCAGCAAAGAGCAACTGTGACAAAATCCCACTTTGTGTGGGTTCTTTATCTTTAACTCCCCGCCTCTTGCCAAGACCCTCGCATTTACTTCTCTTACAACTCCATCTATAAATATATTAACCCTTTCAGGGGCCAAGGCCAAAATCTGAAGTCACGCACCAGGTCCAAGAAATTTGAAAAAAAAAAAATTATTTTTTCTTACAGAATTAAAGAGCATATTTTGGTGAAGGTAATAAAAAAAAAAAAAATAGAATCTGATCATACTTACCGAGATACAGTGGGCCCAAGAAGTTTATAGAAAATGATGTGGTGGTGGCAACAAACGACGAATTCCACATACGCGTATTATATTATTTTGTTCTTTTAGTTGTTTTTTCTTTTCTTTTCCAATT